GAGAGAGAGAGAGAGAGAGAGAGAGAGAGAGAGAGAGAGAGAGAGAGAGAGAGAGAGAGAGAGAGAGAGAGAGAGCATGAAGAAAACCAGGAGGGACAGAGAGAGAGAGAGAAGACGGAGAGAAGGAAAGACAGAGTGAGCCAGGGAGAAAAGAGAGTCGCCTATCTTAGATGAGGATGCTGGTGTTGGGTTGCTGAATCCTGCGCTGTTGAGCGCTTGGTGACTGGATCTCCGAAACTGTTTAATGTGATAATTTGTTGGAATTTCGAAGCTGCGCATATAGACTTTGCATCTCTGGACTCCAGTGTGGATTTCGTGTAATCTTTCAATGTGTGTGTGTGCTCAAGGTGTTGAGCAGTGAGGCTCAATGCAATTGGTATCGGAGCTGGTAACTCACTGCATCCGCTGGTGACGAGTGTTGGCAATTAAGACCGGCAAGTGGAGATTGGGAGTGTGACATACGGGCTATAGGCCGAAGAAGAAGTTGCTTGTATTGGGGGATGGTGATTAAGTACCTGCATGCGAAGAGCGTCGAGGAGCTTCATGTTCACAAGTGAAGTGTATCGCCCCCTAAGCCCTGTATTTGCTTTAATGGATGAACGAGTGTCTTTGTTACCTTCCCACATCTTGGTGTTGCTGCTGCTGGACAGAACACTTGGTGACAATATGATTTTGTCTTGAGTCAGCATCTGGTCAGACATATGTGTATGAAGCAGGTCATGTTTAGGCTAGAAGCTCGACAACTGGATGTATCACCCATAAAGTAGGGAGCATGGGCATGAGCGGTGGAAATGGAGTTGACGCAGTGAGGAGCTGTAAGTCTTGAGAGCGAACCTTCAGATCTTGGTGGGCACGACGTCCTGCCTGCGTAGTTAAATAATTCCCGAGGTCCTTGCTGGCTGACTTAAACTGCTGGTTGCCCACCAGCCTAGCAGGGTAGCTATAGTGACACTATGGGGGAAGAAACTCAGGACAGACTCCAATCTAGATTAGGTAGTTTAAGTGTTGAGGGTGAGGTCTTAGGTAGTTTAAGTGTTGAGGGTGAGGTCTACGTGGTGAGGAGGTGGAGGTTACATACCTGTGCCTTCAGTAACCATGGATGACTACCCAATGTTCGCTATGTTGACCTTGTCCGTGCTATGGGGTAAACTCCTCCGTTTCTTGTTTCCTCCAGGATTCCATCTGACATGCGGCATGGGTGTAACCATGAGATCTGGTGGGATAACGCAGCCCGACAGATCAACAGGCAAAAAATGATCGGAAGATGGTTGAGAAAAAGAAAGAGGGGGAGGAGAAAAAGAGAAAGGAGGAGGAGGAAGTTAAGAAGAAACTGGAGGAGGAGAAAGAGAAAACGTAGAAAGTGATGAAGAAGAGAGAAGAAGGATTGAAGGAGGATCTAGAAGTTGAAGAAGAAGAGGAAGAAAAGGAGGAAGGAGGGTTGATGAGGAGACGAGCCCAACCAGAAGGAGAGGAGGTGGTGGAGAGCAGCCATGCTGCGGAGTTGAGACTCAAGCAGGTTGAGGACTTGGACTGGGTGGAGAAATTTGGGTACCAGACAAAGCTTGCGGAAAAAGCTGATGAAGAGAGGGATCGTTGTGTAGTGAAGTTGACAACAACAAAGGATCAAGACGAAAATAAGTTGATGATTGAGGAGAAAAAGGGGGAACTCGATCAATAGTTGATGGCCGCAAGAAGGAAAAAATTTGACGAGAAGAAAAGATTGAAGGAGGAAAGGGAGAGACTTGAAACGTTGCTAAAAGAGCAAAAAGGGAAACAAGAAGAAACTGAGGAACGTTGGGACCTTCTGACCGACACTTTGTTGCACCCACCCAGGAACTCTTTGCACTTCAGCGAGCCGTTGGAAAGGTAGAACACCACCAGGAGGAGTTTAAGGGCATTTGGAATAACTACCTTATTGCGTCATCCAGCCAAGTGGACCATAGGGTCCTACAGTATGCACGCCAAGTAGATGAAATCTTAACTCAGAAACTGGCTAACACCATCGGTGCAGTTAAGATAGGTGGTAGTGGCGGGGGTGGAGATGGTGGCGATGATGGGGATGGCGACAAGAAAGGAAAGGATCCTAGAAAAAATGATGAAAGGAATGAAGGAGATAATTCTGAGGGAGGAGAACGAAAGGAGAAAATGAAGGTAAAACTCCCTTGGACATACATTGGGAAGAAGGAGGAGAGCATTTTTCATTAGGAGGCGGTGATGGACACGTACGCACATTTGATTCCATAATGGGACCACATACTTATGGTGAGTTCGTGTCTAAGGGGAGATGTGACTTTGCAATTTCGTTGGTGAAGGAGGCAGGCTGTACTCAGTGCACTAGGATAAAGGACTTTTTCAGGGCCTTGAAAGACTGGTTCGAAGATAAGAACTTAGCCCGTTGTACTTAGTCCCTCATCCCTAACATTAGTGACCGCAAGTAGAAAAGTGCGTTGACACTCGAGCCCATTATGGACGAGCTGCTACAATGTTTGAAACACAAACTGACCCCCATTCAGATCCTGAACAATTTTGCTAGAGCGCTTCCCCAAACCCCTTAAGACCAGTTATATCCCCGTACTAAAGAGGAGGGGATGACTTACAAAAAGTTTAGTAAGATCGCTGTAGACCATGCCGACTTCCTACAAGTGGCTAACTATTGCCACTACTGGAAGGATATGCAAGCCGGTAAGAGCTGGAAGAATAGGACCATATCCGGCAGTATAGAGCGGAAGTGTAATCTGCTTGTCACCTTCGAGGAAGGAGGTGTAGAGTCGTTACCATACGACCAAATAGATTATGGTATAGAAGAAGAGAACAACAACCAAGTGGCCCTGGGAGGGGACTATGCGGCAGTTGCAGCCTGTGGGGGAGGTGATAAGGTAGAGGCCGGGGGAGGTGATAAGGTAGAGGCCGAGGTCGAGGCCGAGGTGGAGGACGAGGACTTGCTGCCTAGACGGGTGGTGGCGAAGAAAGTTACAACGTGGGAGGTAGGGGTTATGATCCCTCGCTAGGTAGGTGGTAGAGATTCTCCTTTCACAGGGGGTAGAGGTAGAGGTAGGACTTGGCGGCCGTATCCTGAGCACCCGAGAATAGCTGAAGGTAAACCTTGGGTGGGAATAATGAAAAGGTGTGGGAGGATCGTTGCAAGGCCGAACAATATTTCAAGTGTGGTGACCCCAACCACATTGCTCCTTGTTGTCACAAATATCAGTACCCAGAGGGGAACAACCAGCAGAGGTTGCAGTCGCCTCTACGAGGATTTTGGACTCAGATAGGAAGATAGAAGCGCGCACTAGGCAGACACCCTCCTATGCGAAGATCCCATTGGGCAGAGACTGTAGTAGACCCCACCTGGCTCGTTGTCCATAGGTTGCTTGTGCGAGGACCTCTCTAGGTGATTCCCTCGCAAGAATTGGTTATGAACTGATCACTCGTCGCTGCGCTTGGGCTGAAATGAAGAAGAAGTCGAAGGGGCAACTAATAATATCAGATGTAGAAGTGTGTAGAGAAAGGATAGGCGGGTTAGTAGACAGTGGTTTGATGCGAAACTATATTAGTAGAAGAGGGTTGCAGAAGATGCACCTAGGAATGAAGGTGAAAAAGCTCAATGAGCCGGTCATTAGTAAATTGGCCGATAATAGAGAGATGATAGTATGCGAGTATGTTGAAGGGGTCGAGGCATACTTCTGGTTAGAGGCAGGGGGCAGGGGCAAAGTAGAGAAAGTTTTGCACTCCCTGATACTCTTAGTGGAGGATAGCCTTCCTTTTGACATGATATTAGGAATAGACTGGGGCAATGTCGCGTGGGCTGATGTTAAGATGGGCGAGCACGAGTGCTGGCTGCCCAGTCCCACAGGTGGGAAAAAGAAGTATTTGTTTCATGCATCCAACGTAGAAAGTAGTTTGTCCTACAGGTGGGAAAAAGCAGCTGTAGTTTTAAGCACGAGCGTCCCCGCGTTTGTCAGGCACGTGGTCGAGAATGATCTCGCTGAACAAGTGTTTGTTGCCTATGTGAGGCCGGTTGGTGAAGGGAAAAAGGAAGAAGTGCCCATACCACCCGAAGTGCAAAGTCTGGTAGACGAGTTCGCTGATGTGGGAGAGGCCCCGAGTGGAGTTGTGGAAAGGGAGACCAAGCACCGGATAGACATAGAACCCGGTCGCAAGATTCACAAGGGCCCCATCTATCGCACGTCTCCCAAGGGGCTTAATGAATTACGCAGACAGTTGGATGAATCGATAGAGAAAGTGTGGATTAAGCCAAGACCGGTCTTGTTCGTGCCGAAGAAAGAAGGCGATTTGCGCATGTGTATAGACTATCGGGGTCTCCATGCGATTACCATTACGAATGTTGAGCCATTACCGCGAATAGACGACCTTCTGGATAGAGTGCAGGGTTGCAGTTTTTTCTCGAAGACAGACTTGAAGTCGGGTTACCATCAGATTGAGGTGTTGCTCGAGGATCAACACAAGACGACCTTTAGAGCTCGATATGGCCAGTACGAGTTTGTGATCATGCCATTTGGGTTGACTAACGCCCCTGGTACCTTCCAGCGATGCATGAATGAACTCTTCCACGATTGGTTAGATAAATTTGTTCTTGTCTATTTGGATGACATTCTGATCTTTAGCAAATCGTTAGAGGAACATCAACAACACTTACATTTAGTGCTAAGTAAGTTGCGCGCCGAACAGTTTAAGTTGAACCCAAAGAAGTGTGAATGGGCCAAGCGTTAGGTTTTGTACTTGGGACATGTGTTAGATGGAGATGGAATTAAGACGGAAGACGCCAAAATAGCAGTAATCAGGGATTGGCCAACACCGTGTACTTTGACAGAACTACGATCGTTTCGTTCCTTGGTCTGACCAACTATTACAGCAAGTTCGTACGACTGTTGAGGAAAGAGACAGATTGGAGATGGGATAAAGACTGTACTTCAGCCTTTAAGCGTCTAAAAAAGTGCTTGATGAAGTACCCGGTTCTGAAGATTGCTGACCCATCCTTGCTGTTTATCGTTACCACTAATGCTAATCAGTACGAGATAGGTGCTGTACTCCAGCATAATGATGGAAATGGGTAAAAACCTGTTGAGTTCATGTCCTGTAGACTACCTAGTGAGAAGGTCACCGCTTCTACGCATGAGAGAGAGCTGTTTGCTCTTAGAGAAGCCTAGAATCATTGGCGGCACTACCTCCTAGGTTGACATTTCAAAGTGTATTCAGACCATGAGACACTTCGCTGGCTGAAGACCCAAGCTAGAATGACACCTAAGTTGACGAGGTGGGCCGGGGAGATTGATCAGTTGATTTTACACTGAAGCCAGTCAAAGGGAAGTATAACGTTGTCGCTTATGTGCTAATTAGGCGAGCAGATTTCTTCGGTGCCATTGTAACATACTTGGATGCGGGGGCTGAATTACAAAAGAAGATTAGGTCCGCCTGCACAAGTGATCCAATCTATAGTCAGTTGATTGGCAAGGTGCAGACAATACCACACGAAGTTCCGGATTATAGAGTGACCCAGGGACTGCTGTTTGAGAAGACAGATGTGCACGACAGACTGTGCACCCCAAACAGTGAAGAGATTCGCAGTCTAATCCTAGTGGAATGCCACGACACTGAGGGACACTTCGGTTGGAGGAAAACACACGCTAATCTCGTACGTTCCTGTGCATGGGCTGGAATGAAACATGACTGTATAGCCTGTGTTCAGGGCTGCGAAGTATGTCAGCGGAACAAGAGTTCCACACAGCCTCCCCTTGGTTTACTTAGACCACTGCCTTTACCGACAGCTCCCTTGGACTCCGTGCCTATAGACTTTATGAACACTAAGGTGAGAAGTAGGAACGGGAAGAGCCAAGTTATGGTCATAGTGGACATATTTAGCAAGTTTGCTGTTTTTGTGCCACTCCCTGCTGAAGCCAGGACAGACTTAGTAATTCGAGAGTTCTTTAATCATTGGGTGAAAGACTACAGGCATAAGTAAGCGATAAGGATACAAGATTCACAGGCAAACACTGGCAACAACTCCTGAATGTCTATGGGTCCAAACTGACTATGTCCAAAGACAGACATCCTGAGACAAATGGACAGACCGAGCAGATGAACAAAGTGTTGCAGCAGGTGCTGCGTATGTACATCCGACCAGAGCAGATGGACTGGGATGAACATCTAGCTAAGGTCGCTAGTGCCTGTAACAATTCTGTGCATTTGGCTACAGCACGAACGCCCATGGAACTACATTTAACTTGGCGGCCACGTAGGCCCATCGATTATCTTAATCCTAATCAAGTGCAAAGACTTCCACCAGGGACTAGAGAGTTTGCTGTGCAGTATCGAATGGACATAGAAGAAGTAAGAGAAAACGTAGTAAAAGCACAGCATCAGATGATAGAACAAGCAAATAAACACCGGAGATCGTCGCAGTTCGCTGTAGGGGATTTGGTCTGGGTAAAGTCTAAAGAGTTTCTCCCAGGGGAGAACATCTCGCAGAAGTTATTGCCTGCGTATAGGGGACCGTGGCAGGTACTTGACGTGATTGGTGATGTGGATGGTCCTTCGTACGTTGTTGAGATTCCTCCGCATTTCATGCCTCTTAAGTTGCTCCTTTGTGTCAGCAATGAGCTATTTCCATCTCAAAGATCTATGATTCCTCCTGATATGGATGGTAAATATGACGTGGACCGCATCGTTGCAGAGGATGTTTATAGATCTGGACACAGGGGTAGGCCCCAGCGACAATACAAAGTTAGATTCGCTTATCAAGAGCCTTCAGGAGATCGCTGGTTTACTATAGATGAGCTAGTCGAGACAGCACCGCACATAGTGTCCTACTATGAGAGAGCTAGGCGAGGAATCAACATAGTTGATAGGTAGAGATTGTAACTTTCTCGGAGGACCTCGAAATTAGGCCGGCGAGAGTGCATGCAGACCCCAAATTTGAAGCCCAGGGTCAAGGTTTCAGGCCAAGGGAGGCCAAGGCGGCCAGTTTCCGAAAATTCACAGTCAGGTACCTTAGAAGTCAAGTCCAACAGGCACCCGGTAAACAGCGACATGCCAAAGACAAAAGTTGCATTCTGTAAGCAAAAGTCACGTCTCATATTGAAAAGTCATGTCCTACAGGCAAAGGACACTTCTCCAGGCAAAAGTCGTGTCCC